TGTGGATGCCCCATCCCTGGAAGTGTTCAAGGCCTGGCTGGATAGGGCTTGGAACAATCTGGTCTAGTGGAAGATGTCCCTGCCCACAGCAGGGAGTCGGAAGGAGATGATCTTTTAGGTCCCTCCCAACCTAAACCAGTCTGTGATTCTATCATCTGCCAAAGCAGCCCCAGCAAGCTGAAAAAGGATCATGTCAAACATGACAACAAGAAAATATAAAAGCCATGAAAACAACCTGTCAAGAGAGGAGCATGTCAGCTGGGATGTGGGGAGCAGGCAAGACTCAGTCACTGTCCCCTTTTTTGGCTCATCTCCACAGAGACATCTGGGGAGAAGATATGAATCCCAAGGGAGAAACAGATGCATCTACCTGGATGCAATATTCTGCCTGCATGCTGCGGAGCTGAGGCTCAGCCCATGTTGCCCAGAGGTCTACCCCTGCTTCAGCCATCCCCACTACCCCTAATCCTGCCTTTCCCAGCGTTTTTTCCTCCCTCTGCAGCTGCCTATGGGGCCAGGCAGGGGTCAGGATATGCCTCTAATCCTGCGGCCTCCCGTCAGCTGGCCCTGCTGGCTCTGGGTGACACATCCTGGGTGGGAGCCAGAGCCCCACTGATGCCCTACGCTGTTTCTTGCTGGGCTCCTCCAGCAGCTGCCAGTGTGCCGAGGGGTCAGGACAGCATGGACGGGGGGGTGCCCAAGGGGGAGACCAGAATGCCTGGATCCAGTGTGCACAGCATGTGGCACTTGTCTCCCGGGTGCAACTGGGGCCACCACTGCACCTTGACTTCTGCAGGCCTCCCTGCAAGAAGGGGAACAGCAGCAACATTTTTGAGTTGCAGTATCTCCTGCTGTAATTTCTGTAAGGTCAATCGCAGCTGAAGAGTGGCCAAGCACCTTTCCCTGTGCCCCAGGCTGGGGCAGACAGGGAACGTGGGTGGAATTTTGCAGAAGAAATGCCTAGGGGACATTCCTTTGTAAAGTCTTACAGACATTCCCGAGAATACCCCAGTTGCCATTCACTGCCAAAATCCTTGCGGCTGGCCCCACACCATCCTCCAAGCCCCTGTAACAGCAAAAGGTACGCCCGGTTTGTGGGCGGGTTGTGCAACCTCCCTCTGAACTGCCAGTCCCAGCTCCCAGGAGCTGCCTCCTCCTGCAGCCGAGGTCCCTCCTCTGCCCGCGAGCGCTGCCACAGGGAGAGATGGAAAAGTCATTCGGCATCCCTCCGAGCTGCTTCCCTGCTTGCATGGCTGACCGCCTCCAGCACCGCAGGCTCCTAACCTGCCCAAGGAGAAACTGGACCAAAACAAGCATTGTGGGGGTAGACAGAAAGCAGCCAGGGATATTGAAGACTGGAGCAGAGAGCCAGCAGAGTGAAAAACAGCCACGTGGGGACTGTGAAAATCAGAGCTGAAGAGAGGATGATGGGAAAGGTCTAATAAAAAGTCACAGTATACAAAATACACAAGCACCCACCTCCACCAGGACGGCTGTGGGAACGGATTTTGGTGTAATCTCTGGCTATTGAGGCTGTCCAGGCAGACACAGTCTGGATATGTAACTGGATCAGGATTAGACCTGATTTAAGAAAAAATCTACGGAAATCTTGGATTAGACCTAATATAAGAAAAAATCTAAGGAAATCTTAGATTAGACCTAATCTACAGAAAGCTTAGATTTTTTTGCTCTGTCAACTTGAAAGACAATGCTTTCCCTCACAGTGTTTTGTTACTATGTGGAAGAAATCAAGGGAGGCCAGTTGGCTGTAAGAGGATCCTCCAGCCTCAGGTAGTTCTCAACCACATCCACATACCATATGGAAAAGCATCTGCTCAGCCCCAGAAAACCTCCCCCAGTCTCATCCTAGCATGCAAAAACCTCAGACCAAACCTGTGCTGAGTTCCCTCCCCACACTTGGCCCCAGCACGGCGCAGGCTCTGGGGGTGGTGAATAGCTACAGTCATTACTACCATTGAGCCTTAGGGTCTCTTTCCCAACCTGTGCAAAGTTGTCCCAGGTCAGTCTGGCAGACAGTGGGGACAGAAGGAATCACGCAGGTTACCTATCAGACAGAGGGAACCGAATGATTAATTACCCAGAAAGGTTGTGCTAAACTTGGAGGCTGTGTCCTCCCTGCCAAGACACTGCTGGAAAAGCCCACTGTGACCCCTGAGCTCAAAAAACTCAATGCCAAGGAGCGAGGCGTCACAGGTAGCCACACCCACCCCCAGCCCAAGTGATCTGAAGTAGCAGCTTCCCAGTCAAAGGAAACTTATATTTCCTTATCGTTTGCTATAAATACAGCTGTGCTGTTTTCCTGACCGTGTTATTCCTACAGTCCTTATCACACACACTCAGATATCCACAGCACAGTCACACACTTCACAACCTTCTTGCTCTCCTATTCCCAGCGTTTCCAAACCATTTACATTCACATCCCCCTGTGTTCTGAAGCTCTTCTATGGCAACGGGTGACACTGCCCAACGGGTGACACTGCCCAACGGGTGACACTGCCCTGGACCTCCACATCCGCACTGAACAGGTCAGCAAATGAACTTGTCTTCCTTTTCCCCTTCTCTGCCATGCAGGGACCTGGCTCGCAGCTCGGGATGAACTCAAATGTCACTTCTGATAAACATTTATTTTTGCTGAGGAGTACGATGTGTTTATAGGCAGTGAAGTGGGCCAGTGAGAAGCAACAGGCATGCGCCAAGTCTTGCAACATCTTGACGCTTCTGAATACCTTGGTCTCCCGCAAAAGTCACATTGTATGGTCCCTGGGGCATTTTAAACACAAGGGGGAAAAGGATTCCCAAGGTCTCGGGCTGGAAGAGAGACCACGTTGAAACAGCGGGACAGTGCGTTCAGGTGGCCTGTGTTGCATTGGCCTGGAGACCAAAGGGAAATACCCTGGAGCAAAGGGTCCGAGAAGAGACAGCAGTTGGCTGAAGGTGCCTTCATTTCTGCACTGATCCAAGACAATCAAGACCTCACCTGCCACAACATCAGCTTTAGACCGTGGTCTCATTTCCCTCGACAGATTAGGTGACAGGGTGGGGGAAAAATTTACACACAGTACCCGTACCTGTAGAATATTTGATGAAGATGAGCAAGTTTAACAGGTAAAAAGGCAGCCTGAACCTTTATGAGTGAGATGATACTACAGTCCTCCTGAATCAAAGCTGTCATTCAGCAATACTATGAGCTTAACTGGATGAGTGGGCACCCAAGTGCTAGGAGAAATCCATCACCAACTGCTGCCAAGCCTTCCCACGGGATGTGGGTATCTGTAACCAAGTATTATGACCTTGATGCTGAAATACTTGGGCAATTCATCTATCACATGCCTGGTGCAGGGGGTCACATTCAGATGGCCTCAAAAATCAGTGAATCTCTTTTTTCTCTGCTCTGCATTCAAGTTCTAAGTTTCCTTCTCCAAGCTGGCTCAGAAACACCAGGAGGATATTCATTCCTGTGGTTTTATGGCATTTATACGTCGAGTCTAGGCAAGAACTTGAAAATGGAGTAGGGCTATGATTTGTGTTCCCATTGGAGGAAAAAGTTTGACATTTAAAAACAGTTGAGCTCAGTTTTGATCTGTTCTTTAGAGAATAGATACTTAGAAGAATAGGCACTTAGATGACATTTCATTTGTACTATCTTTTAAATTTAAACTAAAATAGCTCCAGTTGTTTCTTTCTGGGACTAAAAGGAAGTCCAACAGTCCTGATCCAGAGTAGTCAAATCAGGCTTTTTCCAATGTTCTACAAGTCTGGATCCTGGATTTTAGTTCTTTTCCATTATAAACCTGTACAACTTTACCTCTTGCTTTCACAAGCTGCCACCTTGCAAATCCATTGTAATGTGGCAAGAGACTGCCTCCTATGTCTCTACACAGGTCTCAATACAATGATTTTGAGACATTACTTACAGCAAAGACAACCCCCCATAATTTCCACCATTATCCCACTGCTGACTATATTTGAATACACTTTGATATGTGTACCACCAGACACTGTCAAACACCTCACCTTGGGCACCAAAGAGAACCAAAGGAGAAACCACAGAAAATAGAAATGCTGCTTGCATGTGCTCGTCCAGACACAACTTCCCCTGCCTCTTTCTTTGCAAAATGAGCTTCAGATACCCAGTTTGGATATACAAATTCAAACTCTCCCAAAAATTCAGCTGAGGATGTGAGTGGTAGCTGGCACTTCTCTGTTTTTTTTCTACACAGTCCAATGCATCAAAAGACAATGAGGAAGGCTGAATGATTCACAGTCATGGAATGAAATGCCATTCACAAATGTTTTTTCCATAGCAATTTGTCACTTATTGTATTGAAACCACTTCAGATGTGTCTCAAAGAGCCTTTTGATATTAGCATGATTAAAAACATAATGCAATTAAGCAATCCCATAATATTTCTGTATGTTATACAAGTAGGACCTCGAGTGACCACTTCATTGAACCCCCTCACAAATGAACAGTTCTAGCAGAAGGCTGTTATTCTGCAAGATGCCTCAGATAGTGGTACAACACGAAGGAATTCAAATCTTCTCATCCCAGAGGCATTCTGGCTCACCAAAATCCATCTGTTCAGCTTTGGTGTTGGGTCTAGCCTACATGTCTCAAACCTTCCAAAACCAGCCAAGAAGGATGCACCTCCCCAAGAGCCACTCTGCCCACTTCAACACTGATGTCTAAAATCACTGGGAATATTTGCCCTCTAGAGCTTATCTTTCTCTCTTTATTGTCTGTCTAGAATCTATCTGGACGTTTGACACTTGCCCTGTTGCTCCTGTTACCTGTTGGTATTTAGGCACATACCAAACTTGTTGCGCACCCCTCCACATCGAATTCCCATATCTAGAGCGCACTGTTATGCAAACGTGCACAACTTTGCACTCATACACGACACAGCATTAAAAAAGCCTTCAATAAGATGTGGACAAAAAAGGTCCTTCCAAAGTGCCAGCTTTCCCCACATCCCTACCTGCCGGGCAGTTGCATCGCTGGTGTGTGTCTCGAACTTCTCGATGTCTCGGCAAGTGAAACTTCAATTTCTGTCAAGAGAGGAGAAACAGGAAAAGGATTAATTTATACCATTGAAACCAAAGCCTCAAATTCTTGGAAAAGTGGGAGTTGGGGGGGGTGGTGCCCAAGAGATGGGAAAGACAGGGCAGAACAGTTTGGGAATGAAGAAAGGCATTAAAGTTCACAGTATTTAACTAGAAATGTGGAGTTTGATTAAAAGCAGGCTGAGGGAGTTTCGTAACGGCCTCCAAATGTGGTCCTTACAGGCATTACAAAACCAAGAGCTGGCACTGGCAAATAAATTGGTGACTGTGTCCTTGTGAAAAAGCTGCGTTTCTCAGCAGACTCACTCAGCAAACAAAACTCGAGGATCTGAAGCAGGTACTCTTCCCCCCTGTGGCTCCTTATGCTCATGGAGACACCTGGATGGACAGGAGGGTCCCACCAAAATATTGTGGCTGAAGGTGAACTGAGAACAGCAACAGCATCTCCTGAAACCTTCAGAGGCTGTGAAACTTAACTTTTCTCCAAGTGCAGAACAGAACAAAAGCTATCAAGAGCTTCCACAATGTCAAATTGCATCAGAATGTTCATTTCCCATGAGTTTGGATTTCTAATGGTGCCAGCATGTCAGTCTCCTGCTCTCTGGGCCCACCTGTGTATCTCTTAAAGGGCCAATAGAGTCCACCTGAGGTCACCGAATCTTCCCTCACTGGAAATGTCATTAAACTTAACCCATGTCCTGAGCCAAATGTGCTTTAGGGACAGCATCCCCACCACCCCTCATAGACTGTATTAAAATAGCTGTAATTTATTAAAGAAAATGCAAATCAACCCAAAGAAGTTATTCATTAATACCTGCAAAGTACACTTGGTTAATGATTTGAGATGATCTGAGAAGGCTGAGCTGCTGGGCTGCCTGCGCTAATGACTCACTCCCTGTTCCCTTCTAACCCTCAAGCCCAGCTTCCCATCCCAGTTACACCTTCCTGTTGTTTGACCTACTTCACAACTGGGCCAACATTCCAAAAGAAGTAGTGGGTGCAACAGAAGCCCATGCCCAGGATCATACAGAAATGACTTAATTTTCACAAGTAATCGAGCACCTTCCTGAAAGAACACATCAGTTAGGGGGAAATTCCTTTTAGAGAGGAAAAAAGTAGAGCAACTTGGTTCTGCCTGGATGAGGGAAGGCAGAACTGGCTGGAACACTTCCATTTTTTTCACTTTGAAATGACTGGCTTCCTTATTGCAAGTCAAAAGCAGTAAGGGTTGTTGTGACTGACTAGAAATTGAGTATTTTCAGTGCTGAAACATTGATAGAGAGTTGATTTGATATCAGGGTGATGAGGGGGTTTCAGGTGAGAATTGCCAGTTTCCATAGAGCATTTTTATCTGTGTTTACCTTCTCAGTTTAAAAGCACTGATATGTGAATCTTTGCATTTGGGCACATTCCCATGTAGCTGCCACCTCCCCGATGGCACAGTTCTGTTCTGCAGCACTGAATCACTTTGTGCTAATGGTCAAACATGGGCACAAACAGGACAGAGGAGCCTTTATTTGGATACTCACACTGGTATGTAGGCATACACATTCCCATTTCCATCTACACACATGCCAACCAAAATGTCTCAACATCAGACCGCCACATTTGGGTGGCTTTCCCATGTTTGGGAATCGGCCTCAGCACAAGGGAGGGATGATGGGTTGCAAAGGCAGGAGCAGAAAGCCATTTCCTAACCAGTAAGGATCCAAACACCCTGGCTGCAGCAGGACCCTTTGTAGGACAGAAATCTGCAAGGAAACCTGGAACAGATCGCTGCCCCATTGAGTGCAGAGGCACTGGAGGGGCTAAGGGGAAAGGGCCAAGTTTGGGTGGGCTGCAAGAAGCCTTGGCTGGGTTGCCGTGCCAGCACAGAAGGAGAAGAGCAGCAATTGGACTTGTCAGGGAAGTGATGACCCAGCAGGACTTCAGCATGACCGGGAACGGAACCGGAGCAATAACATTTCCCCAAGACTTTATCTGCAGGGTCAGAGTCCTGGAAAGACCTGGGACTACTGAAATAGCCTTAAGGATGGGGAGCCCCTCAGGAGGAAGGGCAGGAGCTGCTGGGCAGGGATGGGAGCACAGCCCTGTGCACCATGACCATCAGCCATCAGGCACTCACCGGCATTTAGCATTTTCCCCATCCTTGGTGCCTCCCTTGAGTCCAAGAGCTCTGCACATCCCTGGGGAATACAAAGGGCAGTGGTGCCGTGGGATTGCTCCCCTTCAGCGGGAGGCAAACCCTACCAGGAATTTAGGAGCACCTGGAGTTCAGTTTCCTGCACAGTCTATTAAACACGGACTGAAACACAGAAAAAAATCTTTGGCTTCTGGAGACCTCAATTCAACTTTAGGTTGAGATGGTGAAACAAAACAATTTTCTGTCCTTTTCTGCTTCCCTCATACCACTGTACAAAATATCGCCTGGTCCAACATAAGCAGCTGCCTTTGCTCAGGACAGCAAAACAAATGGGCTTCCCTCTAAAAATTGTGTTTTCAAGGGAAAACTTTCATTCCCAGGCAACACAAAACCATTCAATTTTAGGGCAAGGTTGACTTGTGTAAGCAAAATTAAAAGGAGGTGGGGCTCTGGAAGTCTAGGCTTTGTGATCTCCTTCCTGGGAACTGGGGTTTGCTTTTTCACCTGGGGGATACCTGGAGCATGTAACACCAAGAGCAGGAACTGGTTCCCTCTTGCCTTGGCAGAAACGCTGAAAACACTTCCTCTGGAGAGGATTGCCTTGTCAGCAGAGCCAGCTTGCTCTTGCCTGTCATGTTTTCCAGTGACATAACAGCTGCACCTTCCCTCTGCACATAGGAACGTGGTTGAAAAAGCCTTCGCTAGCGCTGGAGCCAGAGCTGACCAGCTCCGACTGGGCACCCCTGTGTGTTTAGGGAGCTATCACACATCACTGAGCATCAAGGAAAGGGGGAAACCCTCTGTCTGCAAGAGGGAAAGGCAAGGAGGGTTGGGCTGACACACGTGCTGGGAATGGCAGTAAAGCCAGCGTGGGGTTTTCCCGTGGGTGAACTTACTGCAAGCATGATAGGACAGGGCTGACAAGGGCAGACAGAGCAGAGAAAGCAAGAACTCTTCTGGCATTAAAGGACCATGGCTGTGGTCTCCTAAACCTTGCAAGTGCCTGTCTGTTTTGGAGGGGCACTTGAGATCAGGGGAGAGGGAGGGCACTTTTTCAAAGGGGGCAGATTAATAGCTCTTTAGCATTCCCAGTTGTTTGCAGTCACCCAGGGAAGGTGAAATCATTTCCCACCACTATCTCCAACAGCTAAAAGAAACACATCTTAAATAGATAATCTATTACAACCATCAGGGGGATTTCAAGGGTGGGTGGTTTTGTTAACTCTTATTGTTTTATCTCCAATTTCACTGTTTTTTCTTAAAGGCCCAGCTCCTGGAATCACGGGACCATGTGGCCCAGAGCAAAAGCAAGCAGGGAGTCCTCCCAGATAGAGCAAAAAGCTTGGAAATAACACCATCTAGGTGCAGGGATTGCAAGCAGCTGAAAAGAAGCAGGATTTAGCTACCAGAGAAGTTGGAAGGAAAAAATAGATCTGGTATTTTGGGATGGAAAACGCTAAGCTGAAGATGGAGGCCAGGTTGAGAGCAAGCTTGCAGACACTGGGAAGTAGAATTGAGCAGTGTGCTTTGAGATACTGAATAAAAGCAGAAGAAAAAAAGCTTTAAGTTGGGAGGGAAAGGGAGTTTTCAGCTGTCCCTCCTTTGCTTGCACAAGTAAGGAAAGAATCCCAGCAAAATGAGACTATTGGGAAAGCAGTGAGGATCGATGCTCCCTCCCCACTCACGGGCACAGTCCCTGAATCCCTTCAGCATCACTAAAGTCACACAAATACCTTCAACACAAACCCCTGAGAAGCTGAGCATGCTCACCACGGTGCAGAGGGGCAGCTGACCTTCCTCCAGGCTGCACAGGATACCTGCTGTTGTGTTACACATACACACTTCTATCTCTACAAGCTCACAAATTCGGGGATTGTTTTTCCTAGCAGCAGCACTGAATCCATCCTGTTCTCCACCCTGATGAGCTTTTGGCAAATGAAATAGTACCAAATGTTACCCAGCATGGGAAAGGACCTTGTTTTCTTCTTTGGAAAGCTTTGCCTCTCCTGCGAATATGAGTTTATTTGTGCTCTTTGTATGATTTTATGATGTCCCATAAATGCAGAGGAATTCCTACGTGAAGGTAAAGTTCCCCCTGAACTATCTATTTCTGGCCCATTCTGCACAGATGTTTTTATGGGAAAACCCAGCCAATTTGTGTCTGGTAGAAATTCCCCTCGGGTATTCGCCTACACCAGGCAAGAGGTTTACACAGTAGCAAGTGAAGCACTGGTCAGGCTGCCTCTGGGAAAGCATCTGCCGCCCTCTCCTTGCTCCTCCTGAACTGAGATGGAAACACTGACACAGCACCAGTGATGCTCAAAAACCAGGCTCCAAGATCAAGAAAACACCCCCACCAACTGCCTTAAAATTAACATTTTAAGCAAACCAACTCATCTCCTCTCCCTGCCAGTTTGCTTTATTTTTGCATGTCTAGAAGAAAGGCACCTAACAGAGCTTTGGCATTTTGCACTTTTCACTGCACTCTGTATGGTGTCCCTCACAGACCCTTGGGAACATCCAGGGCACACCTGGGCACTGACTGGAGAGCATTACACACTCCAGCTTGGAGTACAGAGCAGTACCGGTTTTGAGCATAACCTCAGAGCTCCTCTATATTAGCCCTTACAGACTTGGCTTCTTCATTTTTCTCCAGCTGATCTTCACAGCCATCAGAGCTAGAAATGTGCTCCTGTGCCGTGGCTCCCCTTACCTCCCACCTCCCTGCCTGCCTCAGACCAGGTTTTTCCAAAGCTGGGGTTCCTTTAAGCTTTGCTGTTTTATTTTGTGATGGATAACACTGAGCTGGCAGCTGTGAAACCCATTAAGGTCGAAACACCAGAAAACTCTGTGAGGATGTGGCAATGAGAGGCAGCGAGGGTCTGAGCAGGGGGGAATGAATTTCACGTCCATCACAGCAGCCCATTCACAGCCCCTCTCCTCCAGTCGTGCTCAGAACAGTCTTTTGCCTTCCTTATTTTTTTTCTCCCATCATTTTCCTGCTCCCCTTTATCTTCCCCGTTTTTCTCCATCCTTGCCCCTTGCCAGCCAGACCTATCCCACTTAGCCCCACTTCAGACACAATGAAGAGGAGGACCAGGGGGATTTGTTTTTCTTTCCTAAGCAAAAGCCCCATATGCCATCTCACCATCTGTCCACCAGCAGACCCCCACCCTGGACCTCGAGCCACTTGGCCCATGACAGTGGTTCTGGCTGAGTGTGGAGACCTGAGGTTTAGGAGCCTAGGGGAAGTGGGCAGTGGAGCTGGGGAAGGTCTCCTGCCCAGGGGGCACAGCTCTCCTCTCTCCATTGGCAGCAGCCCTTCCCAGGTGTAAAGGGACAGGAGACCTGGGCCAGGCATCCCTGCTCCTCCACAGGCTCTGGCACTTTCCTCCAAGCTCTTTTGGAAGCTGTGACCCAGCATGGAGCTGTTAACCCTGGTGGTACCCGGGAGCAAGTGCTGGCCCCTCAAGCCATCGCTCCTGTTCCACGGCTGCTCCCCACACCGGCTGCGAGGGAGACTGTGCCATGCCCAGGGGCACAGGAGGGGCTGCTCAGAAAACAGGGGCGCTGCCTGGCACACGGGCACCATGAGAGCCCCATTTCCTCGCTAAGCCGAGCTATAAAAAGGCGGAAAGGTGCCGTGGCCAGCAGAGCCCGCAGGACACAGGGGGCCATCCGGCCTCGGGCACTGCTCCCGGCAGGCATCCTGTAGCACTTCTCAAATCACTTGGTAGAGATAAACTGCGACTTCCCAGCAGACTCATGCCAGCAGCAACAGGGGGATCGCTGGACGTTATCCCCTGCCTGGTAGTGAGGAAGGAGTTCCAGCCACTTGTAATGCTTCTGTTTCCTCAAAAACCTTCTTTTAAGTGGGGTACTACCCCATGGACCCTATCTTCCCCTTATTCCTCATCTAAAGAGACAACTCAAAACCAAATCCTTCAGCTCCTGCGTTGTTTGCTAACTCGAGGTTCACAGCTTTTGGCTGCAAACCCCAGCCGATCCAGGGACTGCTCTCACAAGACTCATAAACAGAAGCCGAGCCTGTCAGCTGCAGGTTTAAACTCCTCACCACAGACCTTTGCCGCTCCTGGAAAGCAGGAGGGGGGCCGAGGTCACCCCAGGTACCAGGCAGCACTGCCCAAGGCAGGTCCCTATAGCCACCACTCGGATCACTCCATTCCTCGCCTCGTTTGGCAGTAGCAGCACAAGAGGGGTTTTTTTCAGACACAAACAGTTTTTGGGCTAGCCCCAGGGATCTCTCCAGCATGACTCAAGCCAAAGCTGGAGTAAACAGAGAAAATGAGAGGTGGGTGGAAACAGCTCCAGCCCTGAATTTCAGCCCCAAGCCTCTCCCAGAGCTGTGGGAACAGGTCAGTGTGGACCCATCTGAAGAGTTCAGAGACATGAACCACCATCTGCTCCCAGACATGTCAACACTGCTTCAAAGCCCAACAAGGCAAGGAATACTGTAGGATACTCATCCCGCAGAGGGTAGAGAAGCCCAGACAGCCCCCAGCAGCACCAACAGAGTAAAGGGTGTCACCAACAAAAATCTGCTTCTTTATTGACCTGCTGAAGCCAGCACCAGCATTCCCCCATCCTCAGAGGAAAACCCACAGGGTCCAGTGGAGCTTGGATGGGGCTCAAGCAGGCATAACACAGGCATATGCTCTGCACTGATGCTCTGGCAGTACCAGAAGCCATCCTGGCAATGCCAGTGTGCCTCATTTTCCTGAGCCAGGAGCTGTAGAAGGGGTCAAGGCTGGCACAGCAGCAAAGCCAGCCCATCATAACACTGGGGTGTTTGCAATTACCTCCTCCCATAGAAGCCCTAGCTGCAATGTGCCATGTCTCTCCCTCTCTTGGGGCTCAGACACACACTGAATCCCCAGGTTTAACCTCTTCCCTCCCTGCCAGGACCAGGGATGAGGTTTTCCTCTTTGCAAAGTGCAGGGTTCAGCCACAGTGTGGGCTAGGGAAGAGAGAAGCAAACACCAGGTGAGTTTGAGAGGTGGGAGGGACCTGGAGACACAGGGAATTCAACCTAGAAGCAGCATCACTTGTGCAGAGATAGGTTTTTAAGGCAGGGGGGGAAAAAAACGGCTAACACAACTATGCAAGCATGCACGTGCCTAAAATCTACAGCACTGCAAACTATACATGCAAAATGAAAGGACACCGACCTCATCAAGCAGTTGGTCAACTCTTCCCAAAATAGCCGTCTCCATTTGGTCTGCTGAGAGCCAGGCAGGGAGCTGTGTGGGTCTGTCCGCTTCCAAGTGGGACACCCGGGACTGCAGATCGGAGGTCCGAAAGTACAGCAGGAGGCTCAGCACCAGAGAAAGCAGGGAGACGCCGGGCAGCCCCGAGCCCAGCAGGAGAGGGAGGCGGCAGCATCTCTCCCCATCGCCGGTCCTGGGGGGAGTCACACACCCCCTGTCAAAAGCTGCTTCGTCGACGCCTTTCCAGCTCTTCTCCTCCAACATTCCCTCCCTGTCCTGAGAAACAATAAATAAATAAATAGAATAAAGAAAGCCTCACTCCTACTCCGAGAAGCACAATCCAGAAGGCACAGAAAAAGAGCATCCAAGAGGATCCCAGTGCCAGCAAATGACAAATGACAGCAATAATGACAAAAGTGGATGGGGGGGTGGGGGGTCTTTAAAAAAATAAAAACAAACCACACACACATAAAAGAGGTGCAGAAAAAAAGAGATCCAACTGCAGCAAAGAGTGCGAGGGGGAAAAATAATCTGATCAAGATTTTTGTTTTTCCTCCTGTGTTTCTGTCTTTTGGTTCGCTGGGGGGTTTTTGATTCCTTCTAAGCTGCCCGTTTCAGTTCCTTCGCAAACTGGCCAGGAGCTTGCACATGAAAGTCCCCATTAGAGAGAGGTAATTCTCAGCTGCTCTGGCGACGTTGTGCTCTGGCTGATCGTGGCTCCCCTGTAACATGACACACTCCCTTCGAACTACGGGGCTGGGATGAGCGAGCTGCGCGGCTTCCCAAAGTAACCTCCTCTGCTCGCCCTCTCTCTCCACCTCTCCCTTGCTGCATGATTTATTTATTTATGCAAAGCGCCGGGGTGGGATCGGGCAGTGGGACGCCCCTGTCCCGCTCGGTCCCCAAAGCACCTCTCCGCCGCCAGCCCTTCCTTTGAAGTGACTCTCGCCGAGGTTATTTATAGTGGCAGGAAAGAGATTGTAAAGCAGAGGCTGGGCTCACACCAGCCTGCGTCTTCCTTTCCTCCCCGCAGCCGAGAGCACTTTATGGGATGATGCAAAAGCCTTGTCGCGTCCCTCACGCAGATCCTGGGGCATCCCCGAGGCACCAGCGGCGGGGTATTTTGACCCTGATATTTTGAGGAGATCAGCCAGGCAGGGTGAGAAATAGAGGGAAACATTTGGAAACAAGACCTGGCAGCTGAGGGCTCTGCAAGAAATAAGCGAAGGGCAACAGGGAGAAACACCCCAGGCAGGCGAGCTGCAGTGCAAGGGGGGAACTTTTGGGGCTTGATTTGGGGGTACAGCCTGCCAAGGGCGTTCAGAGGAAATAATCTGCTGAGGCCCTCTAGTGAAGCAGAGCTTCTCGTCATCTCCTCCGTGTCCCGGCGGGCGCAGGGCACCAGACAGACAACCCTCTTTGGCAGGGAGCAGTCTCCCTAAAACGTGCTGTAGGGCAGCTCCGAGCCACGCGTCTGGGAAACAAAGTCTCTTTCTGTTCTTCAGGAGCAAGGGAGGCCCACCTCTCCCAATTTTTCTGAGCATAACATACAATATTTTATCCTCCAGGGTGACATGCAGGCTCTGCTGAGCCCCTGCCTGTCTGTCTGTCCATTCTTTGATCCCTTCCTTGAGCACGCTCAGCAGCAAAGCAGCACAGGGCTCACCATGGTGCACAGTCCTTAAAACCCAGGCAGCAAATTGGTCTCTTAAAATCTGGCTCCCTTGTGGCTCTTTCGCTGTCATTTACACGTTTTAAATGAAGATTTTGCGTGCAGTCTGTGCTGGAAATTACTGGCAGAGAAAACTCATATTCATCTCTGGCCCGGTCTCTGTTTCAGAGGGCTGGAAGAAATAGACCTTCTGGGAGCAGGTTAACGCGAGCATGAGCTGTTTCTCCTCCACCAGACAAACCCTTGGAGGACCCGGTAGCACACAGCCCCAATTCTTTGAATGGCCTCATGCCTTTCACAGCCACTCGCTTCCCAAAACGGGGCTTTAGTGTCTGCAAGGCAGGAAATCCTTTCTTTATTTCTTTTAGCAGGTTTCTTGTCATCTCGCTGCTCCAATTTGCGCTGCTGTTCCGGCACGCATGGAAAACACCTCTCTGATGGCTGCAGCCTTTCAACAGTTTCTCATATGAGCAGGGCAGAAACGTGTTACCCACAGACCTGGCACACACTGGGTGTCTGTTCGGAAGGCGCAGCCACCCCCGTCTCCTACCCCCTGCTCGGTCTCTTCCCTACGTTAGCAGCCAATTTCTTTGCAAAAGGAAAAGGAGTCCCTGAGGCTGTGGCTTTTCCAGAGGTAAACCATGGTCCATGGAGTTACCGAAGATACCATCTGCAATCACAAAAAATAAGCAGACAGCAAGAAATGAAGAGGAGATGCTTAGAGGCTGATGATGCAGTGTTTGGGAAGCAGAGATCGGGGAAATGTCAGTTGGCAACTGGGGTGCTGAGCATCCTAGAGAGTAATGAAGAACACTAAGACTGAGGTTGAGCTACTGATGACTGCAGCTACCTGCCTGTGCTATACATTGTTTCACCTCAGGCTGTCTCTCTCTATGTCCCCTTTATACCAGTCTAAGCACTAAAATCACAAAAAGCCACCCTCTAAGCTGAAAACGGAAATCTGCTGGGTGTCTACATCTCATTTCCCCACACTGGCTGAGGAGAGGTCTCTGCTCTTTCGCTCTTATTTGTGATAGAGACCCTGCTGTCCAGATACAAGCATCGGCTGAATGACTCCCCACCAGCCCCTCTCCAGCTGATCAGCTCATTTAGGGGGTATGTCATGGATGCCGCAGGCTGGAGAGCCGCACTCAGCCGGGTTTCATGCGGAAGCCTTAGTTGCAGATGTGCAGGAGGGCAATTTTTCTATCCATGAGGCATTAAGGAGCCCTGTCATCCCATGCCAATACAAATGGACTAATTTAGCTACGAACCTGAGCCAACCGCGCATGTCTCGTCTGCAGCGCTGCTCGACAAACGAGCTGCCTCCAGGGACGGGCCCCAGCATGTGGAGTCATCGCTCCAGGAGGTGAGCACAGCTCAGCCTTCAGCTCTCCCCACAGCCCCCGAGGAGGTGGGTGCCGGCCTGAAACCTCCTGCAGGTTTGTGTCTCTTGAGGCTCGTTGAGTAGAAGCAGATGCTCCGTTACAATCAGGAGTGATTTCACTAACCGGTGACTCTTAGACCGCCTTCGATATGCTGAGCTTGAGGCTGTATCCCTCTCTCCTCAGGGAGGTTGATGCAATTCTTTACAAGGACAGTAACCACACACTTCCGCCACTTCTAGGAGGTCCTCTGGGGCGGTTATGGACCTCAGCACAAACATACAATGATATCTGGAGCAAATATAACCATATATACCTCCCAAAGCAGCTGAATTCCTCTGTTCAGAGAAAGAGTTTCCCATCTAGCACATGGCACTGGGGCAACTGATCAGTGACAAAGAGTTTGGCAAGCCTCTGGCTTGCTCAGTCTGTTGCTGGCACTGCCAGTTCAGCTTTCTAGGGGGCATTGGTACGTGGGCAAAGTTTGCCCAGCACTGCTCTGCAACGGACACACAGTGCTCATAAAGGGGCACAATGTGTAAGGCAGGGCACAATGTGGTATCATTGCAACAGACCCTCTTTGACCCAAGGTAGGCACTGTGGACATGAACCACGCCATGCCACAGGCCAGAAATAGAAGGGCTGCGCACGGATGAGGTTCTTACTTCCATAAGCACAGTTCAAGCCTGCCAGGTATCTACAGCTCATCTTCACTTGGCCTGGAAAGGGGTGGATAATAGCAGCAGGCTTTCCTCACCTTCCTTCGCTTTAAGCACAACCTTTCCTTCAAGAAATAATGTGCCCTTCCTGTCACTAACTGGAAGTTGAAGCCAACTGCATGGAAATGGCTGTGTGCTCAATCCCACCAGCGACCTCCAAAACTGTCTGAGGAGAACTTCCCCTTTTCAGGTCATTTACTAGGGAGGAAAAACCCCACCCCAGTTCTCTTTTTCCTTTCTGTTCTTGTCCTCCCCCTGCCCAGGAAACGTGGGGGTCTTAGTGTGCTCGATGAGCCATTAACTAGCAGCCGACATCTCCAGCTATTGTAAATATATTAACTCAAGGCCTTTCGCTGCGTTTATTAGACTCAAGAACAACATCTGGAAACAGATGTTTTCTGAGCGCAAAGGCGAGGAGGGAGGAGAGTAAAAAAACGAGGCCAGGGGAGGACTCTTGCAAGTGGAAGTGCATGGTCTGCAGACCGTCCCTTTGCACAATGCTGCTCACATGGAGCACTGCAAGGGGCCGAGGCGAGCGCAGCCGTGTCCCTCCCAGGCAAGGCAGTGAGAGTAGGATGTCTGAGGGGGGCTGCTTGAGAGAAACAGCAGTGGGGGAATAGAAAAACTCACATCAGTTTTCAAGGCCCTTGTGAAGAACAGCTATAGTGCTCTCACACAAATAGGATACTGAGGCAGAGAGATTTAGTTGGGTTTTTTTTCCTTTCCTTGCCACAGACCTTCCCTCATCCTAAGTTGCTCTATGTCCCAGAGACTGCCAGGCTTATGGTGGGGTAATGTCACCTCCACAACAATTTGGCAGCATCTGCCACTGGTCTAGGGTCCCCATGGGGCACCACCAGTGCCCTGTCTGCCCCAAGCAGCTCTTTCTCAAAGGGCAGAGTGGAAACCTCCCATCCCAAGGACTGTGAAGGTCCTGCTCTGATGAAGAGTCTTGATGTCATGGTTCAAGTTTAGACAATATTTAGAGAATTACATAGTGTTAACTAGGGACAAAAGCAAGCAGGCAAATGCAAGCTTAAAAATACATCCTATAGCATTATTGTGAAACTCAACTAGATAGATTTTAGCTTAGGTAGCAGAGATGCCTAAGTTACAATAGAGGTCTGAGATCAAAGCTTCCATGCATTTCTTTTGTGGGAAATGCAGCTGAACACACACCCTTGCTTTTTATAAAAATAAAATAAAAAAATTAGCCAACAAACAACTCAAAAAAAACCAACCCACAAACCAAAAAAAAAACCAACAAAAAAAATCAACAACCCAACAGTAACAAAAAAGAAATACCCACAACCAGTATTTTGTCATCTCTAGCCCTAGGTTCACAATAGGTATCTCCACCCCTGTCTCTCTAATGGGCAGCTACACATACTTTGCTAGGAAGGTCAGTAATATTGAGTATTACCTACCCAATTTGGCATTTGTTTATAGGAAGTATTAAGTAGCCTATGGAGCAGAACAATTCCCGCCTGAGGAGCTGCTCTAACCCATTGTAGAGTTATAGAATAAAGACACATTTGATCCTTTGGGAAAAGAGTTATGAAAATACATGGAAAAAATGTACTGTCCACGCATAGTAATATCATGGCTGTTTTCAATCACTTGGTTTCCTACAAAACAAAGGGGCTCACTGCACAATATGAACTCCTAGCATTGGTAGCAGCAAGGAAAGTAGGGAAGAAACAGAGTTCGTAGTATCTGGTTGGGGGGTTATATTTTCATAACCCTGAAATGCCTGAGCTCATTGCTGCCTCCCTCCCATCAAAGCCAAACTGGCTTCGTGCAGCCGCAGTGCTGGGAACCTGTCCCCGGAGCTGTGTGAGAACAACCGAGCAGAGCTGGGCTGCGTCAGGGCGGGAATGCAGCCACCAGCAGCTCCTGCAGAGGCTGGCTCACAGCCTCCAAGGGAGGGTGAAGCAAACCCGGGTTGTGCACGGTTTGGGGCCAATCCTTCTGAAAGGCCAGCCCTTCTCCCGCACCCCCCGCAGAGGGAAGGCTTTGCAGGAGGACAGTGAGGCAGCAAGTGGTGGACACACAGTTAAGTTGCCCACGCTTCTCCCTGTGTTTTTAACTAACCTCTCACCTTTTGTTCAGATGACGAGGGGAATGGCTCCGAGCAAACCAGGCTCTGCACTCTTCTTCATGGCGGAAGGAACTTTTTTCTCACAGAAAAAGCATTTCACAGCCAAGAAGCATTTCACATGGAGATGTTTTACTTCTTTTCAGCAGTGGTTTGGGGTTTTCTGTTTGTTGTTGGGTTTTTTCCTCCGTGTTTGGAGCTGATTTTTAATGGGTTGTGTTCAGTGCTGCTGCAGTCTGCAGAGAAGGTCATCTCTTCTAGCCTGTTTTTCGCTGTTATCTTGGTTCCTGCAGAACCTGGGTGGGAAAGAGATGGTAAATTAAAAGGAACAACATTGCTACAAATAAGACAAGAAAAAGCCTCCACCCTTACAGTACTATTCTCCAATATGCTGCAAGCTTAAAAATTCCCACAGCAGCCTGGGGGAGATGTGTTTTGCTCAGGACTGAGATGTGCCTACACTGGGAAAGCTGCTTTGGAAACTCTTGGTGAACCTGGGAAACCCCTGGTGCAGAGCACCACTACAGGCTCTCAGCACAGCTAGAGCAGTACAAAGCATTAGCTGTAGCAAAGAGGTTCTCAGACTGAACATTCAAAATCTGCTCAGCCAGGTGGAAAAATAAGGGTGAGATTTTCAGGCAGGAAATCAGTAGGGCACAATGTTCTCCAGGACAAGGCTGGGACTCTGGAGAAAAGCTCCTCTGTTCCCAACAGCAACTCCCCCTCAGCTCCTTGCTGAGCAGAAAACCTCCCTCTGGTAAGGCCAAGCTCAGGCATTGTGTGCTCAGTTAGTTACTGGTGCACCGAGGTGCTCCCTGCGGTGCATTGGCACGAGAGGCACTGATAAGCCAGAGCACTGATTTGC